GAGGGGGAGGGGGGAGGGTCCCCTTTACATGCCATTTTGGACATACTTGTGGTCATGTGGGACTCAACGTGCATGACTTTCACATTTGCGTCTGGCGCTTTAATTGGCGCTAACAAAACTTCCACTCCCTATCAATCGTTATGACTGCCGGTTGTTGTTATTATTCGGCTGAAATATCCAAACGCCTCCCGCGCGCGCGTCCGCGATTTGGACGATCAAAAAAGCGCTCTCTGCTCCCGTTCTATGTGACGTTGGAGCGGGACATTGAGCGGCCAGCGCGATAGCAGTTTGCGTCATCAAATCCCTGCTGTGTCGAAACGGGGCGCACTGTACACGTTACACGGCGGCGGCGTGCAGAAACGCACCGGGGCCGCCGGTCCAGTCGCGAGGGACGCCGTGCGCCGCCGCCGGCCAGATAGGCAGCCCATCGGCCTGGCGTGGCTCGCGCTGCTCGGGCTTGCCAGAGGACAGACAGTTTCTCCCTCTCCCTCTCTCTCTCTCTCCCTCGCGGGGCCGGAGCCGAGCCGGTCGCGGGTTTATCGTTTTTCCGCGAAGTGTCGTCCCTCGCGCACGCCATAGCCGAGGTCGGGGTTATCGCCCGAGACCCCGCAACCCTCAGGTTACATGAGTGGTCCTGGCGGGCGGGGGCGCCCGCGCCTCCCCCGCGGCTATGCTCCGGATGGCGATGGTCATGACGATGACGATTGTCACGAGGGCGCGAGTCCCTGCCGTGGGGGGTCGGCCGGAGCCGGGGCAGCTCGCTCAAGGAATACAATTGAATGCCCCGAACACAATGTTATCGATGGTCCATTCCTCTCTATCCCCTGCGAGAAACAACCCCCTCCCCCGCCTCCCTCTCTGCGAGTCTCGGCTTTGCGGCGCCAGAGGACTGATGATGATTGCCGTATAGTTGTTGTATATCAGCCAAGCCGAGCCGACCTTCCGACCTTTAATTTGTCGCCATTATCGCGGCGACGACAGCAAAACGCATAACGCGGGATTACATATTACATTGCGCGGCACGCGGAGCGCAAGGTCGGCGGTGAAGCGGGGCCAACTATTGGAGAGATCAGCCAAGTCGCCCAGGGGGTGTCCGTTTCTCGTCCCGACCGTTCCCCGCGACTCACCTGCGAATGCCGCCAGGAACTGGGGCACCTTCCTGGCCTCCTTGGTACTGGTGGTCATGGTGAGCGCCGTCCGGCTGTTCTCCTCGTGAAGCACCTTCCCGGGCCCCTGGACCAGGCGCACGGCTGCGGCCGGAGACACAGACAGAGAGACGAGTCAGCGAAACGGCACCAAAAAAACAACAAGCAGCTCACACATCACATGTCGCCGCCCAGCGTGGCACTAAATGCATGGAGATGCGGCGACACTCTGCGACGGGGAGACGGACGACGGCGGTGGAGGCTGCGCGACACTTTTCCGATAACGGGCCGAATAATTTCAAGGGCGACAAACTCGCCCCCTCCCTCCCCTCCGCGATAACGTAATGTATCGCCGTTGGACATTGCACCCGCGAAGCGCCGGGGTGGGTGGTGGGGGCCATGTAGGTGGAACACTCCGTTGCACCTCGATGGGCACGCTGGGGCTAGGGCGCACTGGGTGGCTCACCGATAGTGCACCCCGAGCCCGAGGGTGGGCGGCGGGTCGGGGAGCACAGCGGTGGCACCCCAACCCCGCCGCCGCGGAGGTGCTTGAAGGGCGGGTGGTGGTGCGCGGCGCACAGGTGGTGGTGACCGCTGCTGGGCGAGCCGCGCCGCCGCCTGCGGTGGTGGTGGTGCCGTATGCGCATCGTGGGGGACACTAAAAGGCCGCGGGGAATGCTTCGACGCCACCCCCCTGGTGTGGGTGCCGTATGATCGACGGCTCTGCACGACCGGGACTCGCCGGCGTCACCAGGAAGCTACATGTATGTGATATTCACGAACATTTTTTTACGATCACGTCGTGACTACTGCAATACACGCGCGTAAGGTTTCTTCCCGCGTATGGACACCGAGCAGCCGAGTCCGCTTAAATCCGCGTTATTCGGATTGTCATAATCTAGAAGAGAAAAACGTCGCGCGGCGGCCTTTGTGTGGCATGCGGCCGCACCGACGACGGACCCATTGGAAACAACTGGAGCGTGGCAAAATAATAATGTAGCAAAAGTAATATCGATCGAGGCGTGATTGATTTAACACCTCCCGGCAGCGACGGCCCACACTGGCCATAGCGAGCAGCTCGTGTGAATAAGAATTACCTGGATTCATTGTCGCTGGCGGAACGGGCATGTCTCCGGGCTGCTGCAGTCTGAAACACAGAGCAGATGCGTCTGTCAAAGTCAATCGAGCACACACACCGGACCGGACGCAGTCGAATGCGCGTCCCATGCACGAACAACAACTAACAGCAGAGATTCCCACTCCCATGCTCTCTCAGAGGAGACTGAAAAATATTTTCTTCTCATTGAATCATATTTTCCCCCCGCCACACAGCCCCATTTTTTCTATTAGTTTTGAAAAATTGCGCTGCTATCTAGCACACGCATCACGCATCATACACCCCACACAGCCAGGCCTGCGCGGGGCCGGCGCACTGTGCCAAGGTTCTGAGCCAGCCCCGCCGAGATAGCATCTGAAAATGTAACGCACGGCATCTCACTTGAGTGAATGTGAATGTAAACACTATTATAGGATCGTTCTGCCGACCAATTAAAGAACGTCTCCGTGTAGGGGCCTCACACCAAAGAAAGGGGAGGACAACTTATTCCCCAGATATTTGTGTAATTAATGCGACCATAGCGTTAAGTTTCAATGCTATCACTTTAGTTATCCGTTTTAGACTCGTGTACTTGAATTATCCTAATTACTGGTCAAACAGGGGCTCATCCAGAAAGTTCGTCCGTCATTCGCGGTCACGAAATTGCCAAGTTCATCCTATGCAAGCGCTCATAGCGCCTGGTAGGTAGGCAACATCTTGCCTGGATTGCATGCGTGTACGGTGGGGTAGCCTATCCTGAGTATCGCAGGCGCTAAGCTTCTGTAATCTGCCAACTGAATCTGAGTAAAACGGACGTTCTTTCTGGATGATTCCTCCATAAGCTACAGAGAGGTAGAAATGGAACAGTCAACCGGGAGTCTCGGTGTACTCTCAGTGAGTAGGCCAACCCACCAGCACTGGCTTGTGCACCGAAACACCCGGCACACCGTGCAGCTATCCTACAATTTTCCCCAAAACTTTGCCAGGTGAGTGTTAGGGTTTTAAGTCTCATCAAATTATTCATTCAGAAATGAACTACACGTTCAGCCCAAGAAAACACAACACTACACCTAACTGATAGTCGTTTACAAAATACAAGGAATTTAAACGTTGGCCAGTTTTACATGGGCTATATATTCTTGGACACAAATTGCATACATACCTCTACTAAACTTCGTCGCTGCCTACGGTGAAAGGGGACCTGAGTGATTTGCACCTCCTCACCAGCAGAGCATGTGGCCGACCTGTATCCTTGTTCACTCCCCCTCTCTCTCTCGCTCGCACTGTCGCTCACGCGACACACGCCAAGGTGCTTTGGGGCAGGTCAGCGCGGTGCATCCCTTCTGCGCGACACGCACGGCGCTGCAATGGGCAATGGACTGAGGCGGGCGCTGGCAGGGCGGGGCGACCCTCACCCGCTGGCCCCCAACCGCGGGAGGCCTTTCAATGGAAAACAAAATGAAAACACTATCGACTTCCCACCCCTCCCCCCTCCCGATCTCACCATTCTTCTGATAATCGCCGATCTTCTCCCCTTTTCCGACTCTTCTCACCCCTCCCCCCTCTCCTTCTGTCCCTCCCCCTTTCCTCCTCATTATTTACACATCCCCGGGCGGGCCCGGCGCGGCGGCGGCGCGGCGGCGCCCTGGTCTGGGTGGGGGAGGCTGTGGTAACGGTTGATAAACGCCAGGGTTCGCCAAGAGGACCGACGACCCGCGCCCGCGAGCTCAGCGATAGTGAGCGGCAGAGACGTACGAGACGTATGGTCACGAGGATCTTCAGCGAAGTTCAACGGAGCGGATGGGGAGGAGGAGGAGGTGGTGTAAACAGGTGCTGGACTTCCTAGCTCGCACAAGCTGTGAACATGGAGCGCGGGCGGACAAGATCACGCCGCATTTTAATTTGATCTTTTAAAGCGCTCCTATCGTATACTTTACCATGGGGCTAACTGCGCTACACATTTTGACACCCCATCGGCGGAGCTCGCAGGATCGCGTTTCAGGCTATTTGTCCGCGGTGAACGCGGTGCAAATAAAACTACTATTGGCGGCTCGGAAGGTTTTCTGCGTAACTGCTTGCGTTATTACTCTCCTTTTTTCCCCCCACCGTGTTCTCCACTCCGCCCCTCTCGCCCGGCCTGCCCCTTGCTGGCTTGCCCCTGGCTAGAAGTGCAGCTGAAACACCCAAGACAGACGCGAAGGAGGTGCGCTGCGACGCCTGGTGGTGCGGCAATTGAAAACACGAGCGCGCGCGCACTCCGTTAGAGCGACGCCTTGCACGACGCGCAAAGCACGCAGTAAACGGGAGATTTGCCGGAGTAGTAGCAGCAGCAGCAGCACCAGCACCAGAAGGCAGTTCATTTTATGCTTTCCTAATGTTGTTGCCACTGACACTGCGAAGCGATGACGGGCGCGGGCGACGCGCGGGGTGACGGCTCCGCGTGTCAGGCCAGGCGCGGCGGCAGCAGCGGCAGCGGACGCCCATGCTTTTATCATAAGTTTATAAATATGTTTCCGGGTGGCGCGAGGTGCGCGCGCGCGCGAGGCCGGGGCGGACGGAGAGAGGTGTTGGCGGGAGCAGAGGGGTCAGGCTGTTAACGTCGTGTGGTAGCACGTGGTGACGCCGGGGCCGGCCGGGCGGCCGCAGCGCACACGCGTGCAGCAGCCGGAGCCCTGGAGTCCGGCTGGAGAAGTGCGGCAGCAGCGGGGCGCGTGTGGCTGGAGCGGAGGCACTATGGAGCAGCGCACCGGGCGCGGGCCCGCTCTCGCGCACCGGGACCCACGCACGGCGTCGCGCGGGCGACAACAACGGAGCGGGGCCCCGCCAGCTCGACATGTGCGCGCGCGCGCACGCCCCACACATCCTGTACCTGCACACACACACGCCGGTGTCTGAAGTTCGCGACTGGCAAGCGAGTGTTTCTAACGCCGTGTCAAATAGTGCAGGAGGTGTTGAACGCGCTTTGCCTGTTGCACACTTATTTCAAATATTAGTTCAGCTAGAGCAGGCTAGACTGCTGGCGCGCCAACAGCTCTGTCACCGTTCCACCTCAGACGTCTTCTTCATTTGCGACGAGGGACAGCTAGTCAATGAACTAGTGTAACAATGAAAACCTAACACGGGCTTTATTCCACCCGCGACGTGTGTGTGCAGGGCAGAGAGTGGTAGTGTTACCCCAGGGAAGGACTACTTCTGGCTCGCGACGCGCGACGCCCAGGCGACGCCAACGCGCCACACAACGCCCCGCCCCACCCCGCCACGCCCC